GACACTTTATCTGCTCTAGCAGCCTTGTGCTTCATAAGGGCAGGGTCCAGTATTTGATTGAGCCAGTCTTTTATTCAACAGCCATTACTGGGCATTTTCTCTCTCAGATCAACTTGCCACGTGCTTCAGAAATTTCACATTGACTTAAGATGTCTTTCCTACCCTCAGGGAGCGCATTGTCAATAACATCACATTTTTATGGCACCCCAAATGATCTGCCTCAGAAGAGTGACTGTCATATTGTAACCAAAACTTGTATGGCTGAATAGCAGCTGTCTTCCAAGCAGTTATCTTAGGAGGTAGTCAGCCTAAGAATCTAGGTTGCCATTTCTAGAGCCTAATTCAGAGCCTTCCATGGTAGTTTGACCCAGTGTGTACTCTGGGTGGTCAGCTGGTTGTCCTGGTCAGCTGTGTTGTCAGCTTGTGTGGACCCCAACACATGGAAGATACATGGTTATGTCTGAAATGGATGGACATGTACAAGATAGAATGTGGCAATGACTAATCTGGTTGAGGTGGAAGAGGTCATGGGAACATAGAGGACAGAAGTGCCATGCTAACTGGAGTCTGGAGGCTGTGTGGTTCGGCATCTTTCTCCAACACCAATCTCAGGTTTAATTCATTTGTCCTCTTTCCAAATGTTCTGAATATTTCAGTCTTTTTCTTTTTCAGATCTGTGAGGATCTCTTTGTACACTTCTCTGCAGCACTCTCTATGTCCCTGCATTTCTGTGGATTTCTCCCTGCCAGCAGGGCTTTCTCTAAGTATTTTGGAGCACACATCTGCCTGTAGGTGTGGCTCGCTCACTGTTACAGCTCACTAATTTTCCAAATGCTATTCCTTATGGCTCTCTTTTTTTAGCTCTCTGTCTCTCTGTGTGATCTGGGTGTAGAATGTGGACTCTGACCCTGGATCATGCCTTTACAACTGGGATTCTGCCAAACCCTAAAACAGATTTGAGCTCCCAGAGTTCTTGTTTCCTGAGTCTCCCCAGGTTGGAACAGAATGAACTCAGGATTAACCAACTGGGGCACCCCTGCCAGGTGCAGGACATTTCTGTGATTGTTTAAGGCCAAGTCTTTGGTCATTGAGGTCTGTGTCTTCACACACTGAGGAGCTGTGTCACTAAAACGTGTGTCTGCTTACCCCAGGGTTGCAGAAGAGGGAGCTACTCATTGGTGGGATAGAAGGAGAAAAAGCCTTCTCCCAGTTATGGATTGGGAGCAAAGACAGATCAAAGCCCTTATGGGGCCTTGAAACTGANCGCACTCTCCCAAGTGAGCCACGGGCCAGCCCTAAGTATATTGAACTATTTCTAATCCTGTTGGCATACAGCCATGGCCCCTAGCTCCAGAGTGCCCCTGCTATCCCAGCTCCTCCCTCGAGACCCTACATACTTCATGAGCATTTATCTAAAGAGGTAATGCCTGGCACAGCAGGGTCCCCAGGACCCCACCTGAGTGCCTCATCCAGCTTCAACTCTGACAGATTGGTGCTTGTGCACCTGCTATTGTGTTAAATAGTTAAAAAGTTTTACTATCTCTCCTGTCTAAATTCCTATTATTCTCCAAGGCTCAGTTCAAAGGCAACCTCCTCCAGGAAGTCTTTCCTAACCAATCCACCACCAGTCCAGAAGAGATCTCTGGTGCCTCTGAGCCACGACAGTTCTTTGTCTGCCCTCTATGACAGCCTTGCACCATCTAACTCATATTAGGGTGATTTATGACACTTTATCTGCTCTAGCAGCCTTGTGCTTCATAAGGGCAGGGTCCAGTATTTGATTGA